TGTATTAAATAAATATTAAAAGTTAAGTTCTCACAACATAAAAAAAGGCAGATAGAATCCTATAATTCTAATGTGGCGATATATTGTCAACCTCATTTTTCTTAATTCCAAGCATTGATATATATATATATATATATTTATAATATATAATTACACTCACAACATACATATGCACAACATACACATAGATTTCTCTCTCTCTCTCTCTCTCTCTCTCTCTCTCTCTCTCTCTATATATATATATATATATATATATATATATATATATATATATATATATATATATATATATATATATATATATATGAAGAGTTTATTTTCAAAACCCGGTAAACGCCTATTTAAAAATTTTTTAGAAATTGTGTGGTTTATTTTTAGTTTATAAGGACCTAGCAGACATTGTGTCCGAATATATGCTAAACGAAGTATAACCCAATATTTTTTTACTTCTAAAAAACATTTATTTTCAAAACGCGGTATAAAATTTTTTATTTATTTTCAAAATGCGGTATTTAATTTTGACCAATCCGTGGCAAATGTATATTACTTCTGCGCAAGCGCAAATATTTTAAAGTTGCGTTAAAGAAATGTCGGATTGCGATGGACAAGATTAATGCGTTACCTAATATCCTATTTCACATAGAAAAAAAGATATGATGTATGAAACAAAAGAAAAAAAAAGCATTTCTTAATTCTAGTGTTCGTTTAAACTACCATGCTTTGTTTGTTTAACTGAACGAATTATGGAATAATGATAGAAAATATATTAAAAAGGCAACTTAAATTAATAAGTTTAAATATATTTGTTACCTGTTTTTTAATGGAAAGCATTCAATAATAGTACTTCCTTTTTATTTTTTGTTAAACCGACAATTGCTTTGTTGCAAATAAAATGAGGCTATTGCAGTATTTCATTTTTAAAATTTTATTTCGTTCAAAAATATAACGATGACTTTTATGTTATATTAATTGTCCATTAGTTCTATGGAGACTTAAAAATAGTGATCATCATTGTTACAACTACACAACACTAAAAAAATATTATTGTTTATTGTCCATATTTAACTCTCCGAAACAAATATAAATTTCCAATGCGAATTGTGAAATGTAATAGTTTACATTACTTTAATAAAACATTGTTTACATTTTCAATAAAATATAATGACCAAACATTAAATACACATATTTGTTCAATATGTTAACTAAAATTAATCATTAAAACTTATTCAGGTCTTTTAAAGTTTAAAAACTTTCCATAACATCTTTATAAAATGTATATACCGCATTTTGCTAACAAGCTATAATTGGATATACAGTATTTTGAAAATAAATGCAAACTTATTGACAAAGAAAAAAAAAAAATTTATTTAATATTTTATTTATTAATATTATATAATATACTTTATGTATATATACATTAAGAAACAAAAATTTTTCCAAATATACGAGAAATGTTGGTGTGGCAAAAAAAGTCAATTATCTCAATACCACAAAAATGGATATACCGCATTTTGAAAATACACTCTTCATATATATATATATATATATATATATATATATATATATATATATATATATATACATATATATATATATATATATATTTATATATATACATATATATATATACATATATATATATATATATATATATATATATATATATATATATATATATATATATATATATATATATATATATATATATATATATATATATATATATATATATATATATATATATATATATATATTTATATATATACATATAGCACTCAGAATTAGGGTTGGCATTCGGCAATACCAACTTAACTGTGGACTTGACAGTGTCTGAGGTCAGCAGTCTTTTGCTAACCTTAGATTTTTAAAACTTAAGTTTATTTGATTATAAACTCTAAAAGCATTCCTTCCTTCATCTCAATATAACGCACTAGTCCTGGATATACCAAAATGTCTTGAATACATATCTAAATGCATGAGTGAATCATTCTTATGTATTAACCAATCGAAAGCAAAAATACTAATTACGGCACCACCAAGCATTCAAAAAGATATTATTATTAAAGGTACTTTTATTAACAAGGAATGCATTAGATTTGTTGACTCAGCAAAAAGTTTAGGAGTGATACTTGACAATGAATTAACTTTAAAAACACAAATAAATAAGATTGTTAAAATTTGCTACAATATATTGAGCAAAATATCCAAAATAAAATAGTTCTAATCACACAAAGATTTGTGTACCATAGTATGTTCACTAATATTTGCACAGCTAGATTATTGCAACTCCCTCTACTTTGGAATTGAAAAGTGACTATTAAAATAAACTGCAGTCTGTTCAAAATTGTGCATCAAGACTGGTATTTAAAACTAGAATAAAAAATCATGTAAACAACCAGGAATTTAACAAATTGCATTGGCTAAAAATTAGAGAAAAAATATATTTCAAGGTCCTTTAAATAATGCACAAATCTATTATACTGGAAGCACCAACATCATCCAAATTTATTTCACTACTCAATGTCAAAAAGAACACTAAAATTAAAGGAAACAAAATGCAGCAATCGTTTTGATAATCGAGCATTATACCACTATGGTCCAAAACTTTGGAATATACTTCCAAATAAGATCCGTGACAAAAAAAACACAACTATTTTTAAGAAAAAACTAAAATCTTATTTAATGATGAATAGTAAACTATTCTACCAGAAAACTCTTTTATGTTAATTAAAATCTCTTAAACATTATTATTAAAAATTTTTACTAATAAAATAATTTGTTGCACAGCTGAGCAAGTGTTTTATTCACTATTCTGGAAAAACATGTATTTATTTATTTAATTCTAAATAAAATAATTAAAACAAAAACAAATTTTAATTAAATTAAATATTACAAAACATAAAAACAAAAACAAAAATGGAAAAACAATGTTTAATTCAAATTTTTAATAAAATGATAGAAATAAAAATGGTTAATTTCAATTGTAAACAAAACAATTAAAATAAAAATGAAATAAAAAACATTTTATTTAATTTTTAAACAAAATAGTTAAAATAAAAATAATTCTGAACAAGATAATTTAAAAATTCAAAATGAACAATTTATTTAAACTCAAAATAAAGTAATTGAAAAGGAAAAATGAAAAAGCTAACTTTTTAATTAAATAATAAAAAGAAATAAAATTAAAAAAAATAATATTTGAATTATATTAAATAATTAAAAAAAAACAACAAAAAAAAGATAGTGAATTAACAGACGTTTTTTAATTCCTAATAAAATGATTTAAAAAAATCGGCAAAATGAAACTTTAGATTCACAATTTTCATACAAACCTTTTATTTGAATTGTATACAAATCAATTCAAATAAAAAACTGAAAAACAAAAATTTTATTAATTCTTGATAAAGTGGTTAAAATAAAGTTTGAAAAACTTTTAATTAAAAAAAATAAATATTTGTAAGACGTAGTCTTTTAACTCAGCGTTTGATTTTTCTTTCCACTTTATGCTAAAATTTTGCACTTTTATCGATTTGTCAAATCCTGTTTAAAAGTTTTGTGTTGACCTAAAATGGTTTCAGGTCAGGATTTTTTTGTCAGCCTCATTTTCCTAATTGTCAGTGGTATTTAAGTCAACATTAAGTAAAATTAGAAATAAAAATAATCAATTTGGTTAATGTGAATGAAAACCGAAATTAGGCATTGTCTGAAGAATGAAAACTGATATAGAATTGAATATCAACATCAGAAAAAAAAAAAAAAAGAAGTTATTTATTATTACTGAATGAAAATTATTTATTTCAAAAGTAAAATTTAACAAAAAACTTTTTATGACAATTTATTTACACTTTCTTTATTGTTGTTGCATATGTCTGACCATTAATCTGGTCATGTGCTCTTTGGCTTGTTTGCCATGCTTTTATAACAAAAGATTTAATATATTGTTGACGTAAGAGTCAAACTATTATGTCAATGATACATTTATTTTTTTGTTACAAAAAAATATAAATATTTTACCTAACTAAAGAGTTGATTAAATGAATGAGGATGAGGAATGATGAAGACATCATTAGAGATCAGAGTTTTTATGAATCTAAACAAGAATATATGATCAAAATAGAGTTTATTTTCCTGACAGTTTCAAAAAAAATCTCATCTCAATTCAATTGAATTGCTAAATCAATGTTTTACAATTATTGTTTGATTATTTTATTGTATTATATTGTATAAAGAAATTGCTTTAGTATTGTTGTCTTGAAACTTTAATAATGATACTTACTAAGTTGAAAATTTCCTGTTAAAAATTTACAAAAAAATTGACAGAATTGAAATATTAACTGAATTAGGAACTGAAATAAGAAGTAGAATTGTTGAAATCATAAGAACTGAACTGAAATTAATTTTAAGAAAACTAAAATTAACTGAACTGAAATTAAATCAACACCACAAGAACTGAATAGAAATTGAAATAGGAATTATATTTCGAACTGAAATATTACTGGTGTGTGTGTGTGTGTGTGTGTGTGTGTGTGTGCGTGTGTGTGTGGCATACTCAATGCAACTTGCACTTATATAATATGCAAGTCAACAGTTTGACTAAGCGCCAGGGATGCGAAGTCCCAAAAAGGACTCCTGATTTAAAACAAAAAGATTACTTCCTAGTTTTTGGTATCCAAAAGCTCTAAAAGTATAAAAAAGTTTATTGACTTATAATAGGAAGAAAAATTAATACTTTTAGGCAAGAGGAACAATCATTTTTTGAGCCTGAAGTTCGTAATGCCGGCAAGGACTCAGCGACTCCAGGACTACGAGCTTAAAAGAAAAAGTTCCAATTCATTAAATCTCATTAATTTTTTTATTATGGCAGATCATAAGTCAACAAATATGTTAAGAGTTTCTGGACACTACAGACCTGAAAAAAATAGAGATACAAAGCCGAAGTTCTTTTGGGACTCTGCATCCCTGCTAAATGTAAATTGTATAGTTATACTATTTTTTTTTAGCTATACCATATGGCAAATTGATTATTTTGGATTTGGCATCTGATATATACCCATTGTATGACCAAACAAATGCTTTTTATGGTCATCCATTTATTTGGTGTATGATTGAAAACTTTGGTGGAACAACAAGGTTGTATGGTCAACTTACAGGTGTTATGAAAGGTAACAGTTAAATAGTTCAGATCAAAGATTATTGTAGTTTTGTAAAATCTTCATTTTCATAATTAAAACATGAGTTGTTTGATTTTTTATTATGTTTGATAACAAACCCAGCTATTTAATCAGAGTCATTTTGACATTGATATCTTATGTTTGTTAGAGTACTTCACCTTTGTTTGATCAACACATAATTCATTTGAAATTATTACAAAGTTACTCTTCTGTTAAATTAAATCTTTAAGATGTTTTATAATAACCAAGCATGGATGGAGAACATACTTATCAATGTCTCCATCATACTTATAAAGGTCTTGCAAAGCTATTTAAAATTTTCTTTTTTTATATCTCGGAACATTTACTACTAATCATTTAGAAAAATATTTTCAAAAAACATTATGGATGTATGTAACATTTTGAAAGAAAAAGTTAATATTTTTTACAGTAAATAAATTGAATATACAAAAAATGGTTTTACACACTTATAGAACCTTACTTCAGTGATTTCCTTTTTTAGCAACTTTTTACATTACTTATCCATTTTTAAAAGTGTATTTTTTGCACATAAATTAATGCTTTTCTTCCCTTAAATGTTGCACAATCACTCACAAATCTACAATTGCGATTGTGAACTAACATACACAATATATATATATATATATATATATATATATATATATATATATATATATATATATATATATATATATATATATATATATATATATATATATATATATATATATATATCCTTATAGTGTAGTCGAAAGAGACTTTTAATGTAAAAAAAGTCTCTTTCGACTACAATTTTAATTACCTCGTCTCTTAAGCTGTATTTGATTGTCGTCGAAATATCAAAGCAATTAAATTAATGCGGAAGTACATTAAATTTTATTGTTTTTTAAAAAATTTTTAAAAAACCATAATAATAACGACTAGAAAGTTTTTTTTAATTAGTAGTGTTTTTGTTTTTGTTTTATTAAAAAATATTTTTAAAACATGCGTAAATGTTGCTACATTGACTATCTTATAGCCTGACTCGCAACGGAGTGCTGCTACATCGACTGACAAATAGCCTGACTCGCAAGGGAGTGCTGCTAAATCGACTGACAAATAGCCTGACTTGCAAGGGAGTGCTGCTACATCGACTGACAAATAGCCTAACTCGCAAGGGAGTGCTGCTACAACGACTGACAAATAGCCTGACTCGCAAGGGAGTGCTCAATAGATAAACAAGAGCTATGTAGTATATATGTTACTCTTACCCACAGTACCAGGAATTAGCTAAATGCTAATGTTTATAATATAATATAATTTATTATTGCAACTCTGAGTTTCATGTACCACAATCATCAGGCAAATAGTAAAAGTTTAATTTTGCTACAATTTTTTGGTAGCCAGTTTATAGTTGGCTAATTAGTTATTAAATAGTTATATTTTTAATGTTGTTTAAAATATTTGTTTATGTGATTATGTGGATTATTTATATATTAAAAAAATTAAAATTAAAAATTTATGTATATAGTATTATGAAATATATTACAATAGCTGTGTATGTAAGTAATTTATTAGTTAGGCAGAATATATTTACCGTGCTCAAAAAATACCACATGAATCACATTCTTGACACTATGTTCTGAGGATTATCTCTTAGGCCATTCCCCATTCCCATTTGGTGTAATGATTTGACTATCTCACTCATCCTTGCTTGACTATCTCACTCAGAGAGAAAGTAACAGAATTTTGTGAACTGAGCTGCAATCCTATAATAAGTTACAACTTCATACTACTATTATAAGCTTCATACTACTATTATAAGCTACAACTTCAAAGTCACGGCAAATCGGCAACTGATGTTCTTCATACTTGATTTTCTCTAGAACATGCTTCATATTGTTATGTTTCCTTCAATATAGCTGCATGAGCAATTGGAACTTATGGTACAGTGTTTTCATTATGTAGAAGTACAGCCTTGAGACTTGTCTTCCATCATACTGAATGTTTAGTTTATCCATCAAATCAGCCACATTATGATAATAGAAAACTTGTTCTGTCATTGAAAAAATGGTTCAAACTGACTGTGTCTGCTGCAAAATACACTTATTCTTACATCATTTCGATGTAGATTTTCTGTTGCAATTCTAATAGCTCAGCCTTTGCTCTTAGATAGTCCTAAATCCTGAATTAAGTTCATTTTGAGAGATTTGTTAGGGCCATTGTCAACTGCAATATGTAGAAATGTTACATCTTCTAAAGTTGATGGCCATGAAGCTTCTACATTGTCATTGGCATCTTTATGATTTCTGAATTCAGTTGTTATATTAGTTGGTGGATCTGGCATAGGAAGACCTTCACCACAAGGCACTTGAAATAATTGCATATTGAATTGATTGTGTCCTTTTCTTTGTGATGCCATGAAACAAAAATTTTCAATATCAGGTTTGTGTTTAGTACCTTTAAATATTTCAGCTATTTTTGTTTCCGTTACATTTTCTCTATTGACCAGTGGAATCAGTTCATAGATTTTTTTATATATGTGGAAATCTTGTAGTATTGTTTATAATATTTAAACCAAAAGTTTTTGTTATACCTTTCATTTAATTTTGAAAGAAACTTTTTTTTAAAGTTAAATATGCAAGTATAATATAATATAAATGCAAATAATTCACATATTATTTAACATATTATTACATATTTTTAAACGCATACTCAAAATTGAAATTCATAATTTTGTAGCCTCACTTTTTCAAAAATTTACTTTATATTTTTGGAAGCAATTTAGAAGCTGAGTCATGTTTTAGTCATGTTTTATTTAACAACAAAAGAGTTCACAATAAATTTTTTTGATTATATTTTATTTAATAAGTCAAAATTGTAATTCAAAACTCAAGTTCACTATTTATTTAGTTAATTTCTAGATGATATTTTCAGTTTCTTTAATTTAGTTATTTGTAATAGGTGTAATTTCTGCTAGAAAAACTTACAAATCTTTTATGATTGGCACTGGAATGACTCCAGAGGGGATTAATCAAAATGACATTAATTTTGAGCTCATGAATGAAATGGGATGGAGAAATGAGGAGTTTAATATTTCTGATTGGACATTATCTTATATTAAAAGAAGATACGGCGATTATCCAAAAATGGTTTCAGGTTATTATTTTACGTTCTATTGATTTTTTTGATATTGATTTTTTTGACATCCTTTTTTTATATAAAGTAACTTTTATATTTATATTTATATTTAAAAGAAGTTTCAATTACTTTGTTATGCTGCTTATATAAAATCCATTAAGGGGCTGTCTATTAATTGCATCAACAGTTTTCTGGTCATTTTTACCTTCCCCCTAACCCTTGTCAACAATGTCAAACTTTCAGAGACCCCCCTTATAAAATTACATCAACAGTTAATTATATTCCCCTCCTCCCCCCTCACCTTAAGAAAAATAAATAACAAAGAAAAAAAAACCATTTAAATAGCAGTAAGAGTAGTTATAACTTCAAGAAAAAGGGATTAACAGTAAAATGTTTAGAAAAAATTTAATATAACTTTAAACTTATAAACATTTTTTAAATATATACAATCAATTAAAATTACAATGGCTCCCTCTGAATAAAAAGTGAATAGATGTAATTATCTATATCCATCTTTATGCATCAGCCAATATTGTTATCCATCAGCCAATGTTGTTGTTGGTGACTTTAATGTTCATCACACTGAATGGCTTGGCTATAGTGTCAGTGACTCAGCAGGCGTTAAAGCCCACAACTTTTGCTTTTTTTAATTCCTACCTCAAATAGTCAACTTTCCAACTCATTTTTCAGACAACCTGAATCATATACCTTCTTTACTCGACTTATGTATTTCTTCTGATCCTAGTCAGTGCTCATTCTCTCCACATTCGACCTTAGGTGCTTCTGATTACGGTTTGGTCTCTCTAAAGCTATAATCTCATTCTTCTTCATCATCTGATTCCCCCGGACAACATACCTGTTATAGTCTTGAAGAAGTGTTCTCTGGAATATGGAAAAATTCTAGAGAGCGATCGGATTCGTCTAACTACCATCCTATTAGTCTTCATCCTATCATAAGTAATATTTTCGAATCTTTTATTAACAAACACTTAATCTATCATCTTGAATCTAATAACTTACTTTCTGATCATCAATATGGATTTCGATCTTCTTGTTCTACTGCTGATTTGCTAACAGTAATAACTGATAGGTTTTATCATGTAATAGATAAAGGTGGAGAGGTTATGGTCGTCGCTTTTGACATTTCTAAAGCTTTTAATAAAGTTTGGTCTTCTCCATAAGATATCTTTTTACAGTGTATCTAGCAACATCTTTAAGATTATTGAATCCTTCCTTTCCAATCTTAGTATAAAAGTTGTCCTCGATGGACAGCACTCTTCTTTTTATTTTGTAACCTCAGGGGTTCCTCATGGTTCAATCCTTTGCCCTATACTCTTTTTAATTTACATTAACGATCCTCCAGATGTTCTGACATCTCAGGTGGCATTGTTCGCTGATGATACTAACATTTATTCTTTGTCATGATAAGAAGCCAACACTTTCTGATTGCTTGGAGGGGGCATTTGAGCTTGAAAAGGATCTCACTTCTGCTACAGCATAAGGCTCATAGTGGCTGGTGAAATTTAATTCAAATAAAATTGCAAAATTAGCATCCGCTAAGGTTGTATCTCTTTATCAATCTTGACACTTTCTTACTCCGGATTCTTTAAATCTCAAATCCAGTCAAAAACAGTACGGAATAATGTTGCCATATCTGGGGTGAATCTTCTAATGATGCCCTTTCTCTTTTAGACAAGGTGCAAAAGCACTATGTAAACATAGTTGGACCTACTCTTCCAGTCAACCCCCAACCAATATCCAATCGTCATAATGTTGCTTCTCTTTTTATTTTCTACAATTACCATAATGGGCACTGCTCTAAAGAGCTAGCGTCTTATGTGCCATGTACTAAAATTCATTCTTGTTCAACTCGTAATTCAATTGTCTCATCCTTTTTCTGTGATTGTTCTTAAATACTCCAAAAAATATTAGTTGTCTAGTTTTTTTCCTTGAACATCAGTTCTTTGGAATTCACTTCCTTCATCTTGCTTTCCTGATGCATATAATTTGCAATCTTTTAAGTCGTCTGCCAAAAAATTGTTCCAGTCAGGAATTTAAAAGAACAAAGAGAAAAATTAAAACTTTAATGGGGGAGACTATTCCTCTATATTTTTACGAAATTTTACTATGATAAAGAAATTGTAACTATTGAATTTTTTGACAAAATCTTCAAGATCTTCTTTCACATAACAAGTTTATATTTTTAAGTTGTTATACAACAATTATTAATTGCAAACTTAAAAAAATATATATATAATTTTTTGACAAGATCTTCAAGATCTTCTTTCACATAAGTTTATATTTTTAAGTTGTTTTACAACAATTATTGATTGCAAACTTAAAAAAATATATATAATTAATCATCTGTAAATGATAAAATATATATATTGTTTTTCCATGGACAATGGTAACATTTACATATTTTAGGGATATATATAGTGTATTCAGTTTATCCTTCAACTTGTAATAGTCATCTCGTAAACCCTGCCTGTGAAAATAAAAATAAACTATATAAAATTTGTTGTAATTGGGATATGAAAAAAAGAAACTAATTTGCCATAATAATTAAAAACAGTGGTGAGAAAATACATCATTGTCAAGTATTGACTAAGATATATCATTGTCGAATATTTACCAACATACATCATTGTCAAGTATTATTAAGATAATAATGAGAATATCTTTAAAAACAATTTTTTAATTTAATGAACAACATAAATAGACAAATTCAAGTTAATCTTATTACAGAGGAAATGCATTATCAAAATAAAAAATATATCAAATTATTATAAATTTAAAACATTATACTTGATAATGTTAAAAATTTATCATAACTTATGTACAGTGCAGAATCACAATCCATGAATATGAATCCAAAAAATCTAATTTCACATTGAAAGTATTTTTAATAGAGTGTAGTATAACAAAATAATGCATTTGATAATTTGTATAAATCAGGAGTTGGCAACCTTCTAAGATGGGAAAGCCAAAGTGTACCATTTTTAAGAATTTTTCAGTTTTCAAAGAGCTACTACATCTTGTTTTCAATATTATAATAGTATTTGTGCATGGAGCTGGAGAGCCACATTTTTACATCGAAATTTTAACATCAAATTTGGCTTGCTAGTAGTAGATTCCCAACCTACTCGCAAGCCACACTACATTATATTATTTAAACATTTATATAATATAATGTAGACAATGTACTTACTTAATTTTTTTTCACAGCAGATCAACAAACACAATTTTTGAAAAAAAAATAGTGTTACAAGTAAACTATTTATTATTTAGTTCTGTATGTTTACGCTCGCTATGATTTTTGAAAAATTGCTTAAAACTGGAAGAGTACCAATTATATGGAAATTAGCAGACATAACCCCAATATTCAAAAAAGGGAACAAGGTAATTGCTAGCAACTACAGACCAGTTTTGTTAATCTCAATAGTTTCTAAAGTACTCAAAAGTAAACTCAAAAGTCCAACGCAATATGTCAAATAATGGTTTATTAAATAAACATCAACATGGATTTGTAAAGGAGAAATCTTGTTTAACAAATCTTATTAAAGTAATGGAATAAATTGGTATACTTATTAAAGTAATGGAATAAATCTTATTAAAGTAATCGAATAAATTGCTGGCTTTTGAGTAAATTGCTAGCTAATTTCCAGTAGGTATTTATTATCTTGACTTTACTAAAGCCTTTGACGCGGTACCACATCAATGATTATCAATCAAACTTAAGTCATATGGAATATCAAATGTCATATGCAACTGGATTAGCGACTTTTTGATAAATGATAACAAGCGGTGTTCCTGTGTAATATATATATATATATATATATATATATATATATATATATATATATATATATATATATATATATATATATATATATATATATATATATATATATATATATATATATATAATATATATACATATGTATATATATATATATATGTATATATATATGTGTAAATATATATGTATATATGTGTATATATATATATATATATATATATATATATATATATATATATATATATACATACATATATTAATTATTAATACATGCATATCAATTAATTCTGTCTGTTAAGTCTGTTTTTAGATCCCAGCTATGGACAAAGTAAGAACATAAACATTGATGCTTCCTTCCTTGAAAAAGTAATTTTTAAAGAAATGTGTTTATAGGTATTATTTTCCCTGCATGAGAGCATTACTACCTTGTAACAGATAGAGTATTTGGTAGTGTTCAGCAGGATATTAAAAAATATGAGCAGATCTTAGAACCTGCTGTTTCAGAAACTTTCTTTGACGACATAGCAAAGTTTTTGTTTATGACTTAGTCAACTTTAGACTTTAAAGCAGAAAAGAAATTTGTGATAACAATCAAAGCATTTAAAAAATTGAAAAAAAAAGTTCAATTCAAACCATCTTGAATTAATACTTTGTTGCTATCACTCTAAGCCAACCTCGCATAACCTACTTATGAAGGGTAAGAAATAAGGCACTTTTAAACCAAGTGTCCAAGCAACAAAAACCCTTGCGATGTTTAAAAAAGTTTTTTGTTTGTTAGATACTGTTAGTGCAAATGAGACAATACGCGATCTTTAAACATGCTTCTGAAAGGTTCTAGAGTAAATATTCGACTGTCTCAATAAAAACAGTTATAAGATGGTTATAAGATGGTTTTATTAGATATATATTATATTATATATATATATATTATATATATATATATATATATATATATATATATATATATATATATATGTATATATATATATATATATATATATATATATATTATATTATATAGATATAGATATATATTAACAGTTATAAGATGGTTTCATTGAATAAAAAATAAATCATAAATTATAAGATTATATTGATAGTTAACTTTTTGTTTGAAGAGCTTATTTTTGTTGTCTTTTAATATTTAATAAAATAGAAAATAGGAGTATATGTTATAGTTAATATACTAATTTTAAACTCTAAAATTAAATATAAAATAAAAAAAGTAATATGGCTTATTGTCTATACCGCATTTATATATATATATATATATATATATATATATATATATATATATATATATATATATATATATATATATATATATATATATATATATATATATATATATATATATTTATATTTATATTTATATATTTACCTATATTTTAGTTATTAATATTATCTAATATATATATATATATATGCATTATTAATATTATCTAATATTTTTATGTATATAAACTTTAGGGCAACAGTAAGTTTTCCAAATCTATCAGTCATCATCATTGTGTGGCAAATATATATACACTATTTTTGACTTATTTGGCATATATTTGACATACATATACACTATTTTTGACTTTTTTAAACCATGTTTGCATATATTGCCACTTGAATCAAAAGCAAAGCTCTATTTATTAAACATATAAAATTTAGTAAATGTTTTTAAAAAAACAAAAACAAAATACAGTTAGTGTGGTGTACTGCATTATCTGTAATGTATATAAGGTGGCAAACAATCATTAATGATAAATTTAAACACCATTTGACAATGGTGTAAATATTTGCTGTTATATTGGCTCAATCTTTTTTAGTCCAGAAAAAGTGATAATTAAAATAACACATTTTTGTTACAATCTTTTTCTGTGCAAAAAACAGTAATGACAATAACACAATAAAAAAAAAATGTTTTACCATTTGTGAAATATTTGTTTAAATTTAAAAGTTCAATTCTAACTCAGTGTTCAAAGTTTAATATAAACTGAGTTTTTTAACTTAATTTTAAGCTTTTCTAAATTATTTAGTATGCAGAGTTTATAGTATTCTGGCATATGTTCTAACTTGGTTACGTACTAAATTGCTGTGTTAATATAATTTTCATATAAAAAATTATTTGCTTCCGGATTGGTTGCTTATAAAAAAGTTATTTTTTTATAAAATTTTTTTTTGATTTTTTTGGTCAGCATTGAAGTTTTGAAATTGTTATGAAACTTATGTTATGTAAAGCAAGTTATGTAAATCTAATATGAATGCAATAAATCTTAGCTCCGCTTCTTGTATGATTTCTAAACTAGTAAAAAATTTAAATTTCACTTTTTTTTTTAATCTTTTTTTTTTTTAAATAGATGCATGGCTAATTCTTATTGATACAATTTACAATTGCAATGATGGAAGAGAGAATGGTGGCTATGATGGGCGAATACCTGTAATGCGCCCTCAACTAAATGCAAAACTACCTGTGCACATGTGGTGTTCAATAAAAGATTTATACAATGCCTGGAAGTTGATGGTTAAAGGAAGTGATTACATGCCTTTAATTGATACCTTTAGGTAATAATTTTTGTCTTGTTTACTGTCATAACACATCTATACATAATCTATACATAACTCATCTTTAAATTATCACTTTAGGTCTTATAAGCTTGTAGAGAACTAGACTAAAAATTTAATTTTTAAACTTCTTCAGTGTGTTAAATTTTTTTCATTTTTATGCTTTATTTTGTTAAACATTTAGTTAAACAATGTATTTTATAAATAGAATGATTTGGTTTGAAAAAATTTGTTTTACTAGGAATGATTTGGTTCGACTTGGCACCCAAGTGTTAGAGGATCTATCAATTGTGTTTTACACACAGATGGTTTCAGGTTACTTTAATAAGTCCACCTTGGATGTAGAAAAATATGGTTCGAAAATAACAGTACTTCTTACAGACATGGATAGGCTGCTAGCCACAGATCAATACTCGTTACTCGGTAGGTGGATTCAATCAGCTAGATCAATGGGCGATACGTTGAATGAAACAAAATTGTTAGAATATAATGCTAAAAATCAAATTACTCTCTGGGGGCCTAATGGTGAAATTCGCGATTATGCAAATAAAAATTGGGCTGGTTTAGTGGGCTCTTTTTATTTTGAACGTTGGAATATGTTTATCAATTTTCTATCCGACTCCTTAAAACGCGGTGTTCCTTACGATGATAGCGCATTCGTGTCAAAATTGCTGCAATTTGAAAAAAAATGGAACAATGAAATTAAAGAATTTTCTGCTGATCCAACAGGGGATGCATTCGGCATATCGCATCAGCTATTGAGAGCGTATGAAAAAGTATTTGAATCAGAAATATCTATGACGGTTTTCAAAGAAGCTTTTAAAGTACCTGATATGCCATTGTTATTTTGATTTTTTTTATATTATGATTGATATTTGTATGCCATCAAAAGCATACATATTTTATACTGCTTGTTATTTTTAATTATTGCTGTCTTTTTAACCAATATTGTTTATTGTGTATTTAATTTCTATGTATCACTATTTATTAATTGTGTATTTAACTTCTATGTATTTATTGTACATATCTTTATATATAGTCGTACAACTTTTTAAGGATATTTAATTTTGTATTTTTTTCTTCTGGTTTTTGTTGATGTTTTAAATAACTTTAAATTTTCTTTTCTTTAACTTTATAAGATTTATGCTTGTGTATATTCTTGGGTATTTTACGCATCTTTTTGATATATTAATACAATGTTTCACGAAAGTTAAAAAATAGGAGTGCTAAAGTTTTTTACACAAATTGTGTAAATTTTGTTTATATATATATATATATATATATATATATATATATATATATATATATATATATATATATAATATATATATATATATATATATATATATATATATATATATATATATATATATATATATATATATATATATATATATATATATACATATGTATATATTTATATATATATATATATATAAATATATACATATGTATATATATACATATGTATATATATACATATATATATATATATATATATATATATATATATATATATATATATATATATATATATATATATATATATATAATATATATTTATATATATATATATATATATATAGTATCGGGCAAAACAATTGCAACCAAATAATGCTAATTTAGTTTCTTTGTATAAAAGTGCTGCATTTTTTCAATTTAGAGAAATAAGTATGTAACTGTTAAGAGACAATGTTCTTCAAGTTTTATTCATCACAAAGTTCATTATTTGTACATTAAAATTAATAAATTATTCAAAAGTTGATTTACTTCTGGAAAAAACTCCACAAAATTTTGACCAAACTGTATTTCTTATTAGTATTTCGTGGAATATCCTTTATTGTCGATCCACAGCCTTGCATCTTCGAGGCATAGATTCGATCAGGTGATCAATGAAACATTGTGGAATTGCTGCCCAGGATTTTTGGATTTGTTCAAACATATGATCCTTATTTCGAACACCTTCACGATTAATTCTGCGGTTAACGATCTCCGACAGGTTCTCGATAGGGTTGAGATTCGGAGATTGAGGCAGCCAATCCATCACCGATAGGTGGTTGTCTTGAAACCACTGCTTGACTACTTTTGCATTGTGTTTCGGATCGTTGCCTTGCTGAAAAACCCATTGTAGTGGCATATTTCATTCAGCATTTTTATACATGAAACGGTCTATCATTCCATCGATTTGATGTATTGGACTAAGACCATTAGAAGAAAAACACTTCGAGACCATTACATTGCCTCCACCATGCTTCACGGTCTTATGGCAGTAACGTAAATCGAGGCGTTTTCCGGCCGGTCGAAGTACACGGCAAATGCCATCGCTCCCAATGATGTTGAACTTCGATTCATCACTGAACAGGACAGTTCGCCATTTCTGCACATTTTAGTCAATAAGAGATGTAGCAAACAGGAGTCTTTTCTTCTGGTTCTTTAGTGAAATGAGCGGTTTCTTTGCAGGGCGTCGAGAAAACAATCCGGCTTCAACAGCACGTTGTCTGATTGTTTGGTCTTATACAGGCAGCTCTAATTGCTTTTGTATCTCGACTGATAATATCCAGGGATCCTTCTTGACGGATCTGACGATCATAAAATCCTCTCTAGAAGTGGTGGAACGCGGTCTTCCACCTTTGTTATCTGCTGCCAACTTCCCCGTAGGACGATATTTGGAACATAGTCTTGATACGGTCCATTTTTTCACGCGATATTCATCACAAATATTTTTTTGTGATATTCCACTTACGTAATCGCCAATAATTTTATTTCTTAGTTCCAATCCAAGACTGAAGGAAGCCATTTTTGCACTTGAAGTCATAAAAATAGTAAAAATAAATAATCACGCTTCTCAAGGCTTACCGTGTTACATTAACCTTGTGGTAATACAATAATGCTCTGTGAAGCACAACATCTCGGTTGGATGTGGGCTGTATTGATGTAATGAAACACTTGTTGTATTTCACTTCTTGTATATGTTCTTCGATAAAACACTTTGATAAAACTCACTTCGATAAACTGTCTTGATAATACTTACTGATTGACATGTCTCTTATATAGTAAAATGAACCTGTGTGAACCTGTTCTGGAAGATTCTAGATGCTTCTTTTCGATGCTTCTGGAAGCTTCTGGATGCGTTTGGATGCTTCTGAATGTTTCTGCATACTTCTGGATGTTTCCAGATGCTTCCTCTGGAAACTTCTAAAAACTTCTGGATACTTTCTTTAATTATTAAAAAACTTCCGTGACGTTGACACGGACCAGACTTAAGAAAATAAAACAAACCAAAAAAGTTGCATTTGTTTTGTCCGCTGCAAATTATCAACGAAATCCTGTCTATGTGCTGTCACCTGTCAGCTGATTGCTCATGTCATGGCATGCTATGACTCCAGACTCCTGAACTGTTTGCTGTGGTAATATAATTCGTTTCGTTTTTAAGACATTAACCGGTGTCGAAATTCGATAGCAAAAACTTTTTTCTGTGCCTACATGCTGAAACCAATTCACTTTTTTTATTTAACAAAGGTTCTTTATTGTATGTTGAAATAAAATATTTCTCATTTATGCAAAGATTACATCTTTTTGAGGATGGGTTATAGGGTTGACATTTTTTAACAATACTCCACTTGATTATTGGTTTAATGCCTGCTTCCTTAAGTTTCCAGATCTCTTTAGAAAGTTCAGTGTCATTTTTATACCTGACCAAGTTGAATGATTTTATGTGGTTTGCAAACCTGATCTTGAAGGAGTTCGCTGGTGTTACGGTAGCTTTGTAAACAATATTTTTAGTTAGACAATGATTTTCTAAAGGACACGCTGCTCTGTCTATACAGTTGCATTTTCTAACGTTTTCGGTATTTTGGTTACGCAAAATGTGTTGGTTGTGAGACTTAATAATAGTACTAATGATTGGCATGCAGCTGTAGCTTATTTTGACGGTGTTTCTGTTAAAAATCTTGTGTAGCCTGTGGTGTGCTGGGAAATAAAAAAGTCGTATTTTTTTTATCATAAAAAAGTCGTATTTTTTTCATTTAAATATTTAATATATTTTGATCTATTTTATAAATATCGATCACTCTTAAACCAACAACGAGCTGTATTAAATCCAACAGAATACAACACAACTCAATAATAATAATATATTTGCTCCATCAGTTGAGCACTCTTCTAAAGTCGTTTAAAATGGAAAAAATAACCTTGAATTATTCAACTAAAAACATACCTATACCATCAAATAAAGAAAAGAAGTTGCGATTACTAGAAAAAACCGAAATATTAATTAAAAGAATGAGATGGAAAGCTTTTTTCTACATGAACAAACAACCTAATGGTATGTGCAATACTAATGATAATAATAATAATATTAATGAAAATTTAATATTTTATGGCATTAACACACCGCATTGCCCTCAACAAATTAAAGACAATTAAAAATATACAGTTTAGGAAGATCCAATGCAACTTTCAAAATAAATTAAAAAATGATGTTTCCTCTATTCAAAATTCGAAATTTATCTATGCATACGCAGATAAGACGTCAAACTTATACAAGCTGCCTAAAGATGAATACAATAAATTGATGACAAACGCTACCACAACCAAGTATAAAAAAACCAATCCAATAATAAAAGATCAGATTAATGAAGAAGGAAAAATTATTTTGAAAAACCACGATGTTTTCAACAAAATTTATATTAATGGATCTTTAAACTGTTTTATCACATTGAAAGATCATAAACCTAATTTTTTAAATGATCCTTCGGTTCGTCTCATAAACCCAGCAAAGAACGAAGTAGGAAGAATAAGTAAACATATTTTATCCGAAATAAACAACCAGCTAAGAAATATTTTATGTATTAACCAGTGAAGTAACACACAGGAGGTAATTAAATGGTTCAAGAACATCAATGACAAACATTTTTATAAATTCCTCATTTTTGATATTGTTGACTTTTATCCTTCTATTACCGAGAAACTTCTTATCGACTCTATTTGCTTTGCTGAACAGTATGTTACCATTACAAACGAGCACAAATCTTTGATTCAACACGCACGGAAATCCTTGTTATTTAACAATAACGAAGTTTGGATAAAAAAATCAGGTGATTTATTTGACGTCGCCATGGGAGCGTTTGACGGTGCCGAGGTATGTGAGTTGGTTGGAATTTTCCTTCTTTTCCAAATTTCTCAATTTTATAACAAGTTTGACTTTGGGCTGTATAGAGATGATGGGTTGGCCGTAATTAAAAACGCCAGCGGTCCACAAATGGAAAAAGTTAAAAAACATATAACTCAGATATTTAAAAGTAACAGCCTTAATATTTCTATTCAATGCAACATAAAAATTGTGAATTATCTTGATATTACATTAAATCTTAATGACTGCAGCTTCAAACCTTACCATAAACCTGAAAGTTTGTTAAACTATATCCATGCCAGCTCTAACCACCCACCAAGTATTTTAAAACAGCTGCCGACCTCTATTGAACAAAGATTATCATCAAACTCCTCCAGCAAAATAATTTTCGAAAACTCTTCTTCTATTTACAAAAAAGCCCTTATAAAGTCTGGACATAGCAGCAATATCCAATATCGTCCTAATTTAAATTTACAAAAAACTAATCATCGTACTAATAAACGCAAACGAAGCATCATATGGTTTAATCCCCCTTTTAGTAAGAACGTTGTCACCAAATTAGGAAACCTTTTCTTGAACTTAATTGACTTACATTTCCCAGCATACCACAGGCTACACAAGATTTTTAACAGAAACACCGTCAAAATAAGCTACAGCTGCATGCCAAATATTAGTACTATTATTAAGTCTCACAACCAACACATTTTGCGTAACCAAAATACCGAGCTGCGTGTCCTTTAGAAAATCAGTGTCTAACTAAAAATATTGTTTACA